GGTTTTTTTTTGGTTGTTGTTCCTTGTGGGTGCTGTATCAAATATAAATGGAAAATTGGGCTGCTGCTTTGTTTGTCTGGGAATGGCAAACCTGTCTTTCGAGCACCGGAGAAGTAAAACCGCCTGAAGCTAAAGGAACATCTAGAGGAGTGTGTGATGAAGCTGATGGCGGCAGCAGGGCCGGGCACCGTGCCGCGATGCTCTTGCGTTTCTGCACAGGACGTGGCGGTGGGGGCGTCCGCCGGGGTGGGCATGTTATGAACCCAAAAAGGAGATGAGCCTGGAGACCAGCGACACTGGTTTCAACTGGTGGGGCTGCACTTCTAAACTGGGGATGGGGTGCAGGGACTGGCTGGCGTTGGGAGCTCGCCTGGGTGGTGGCGGTCTCGGGCAGATGCTGTTTCGGGGGCTGCAGAGGCTTTGGGGACCCGGCGACCGCGGCTTGGGTGTTCCAGCAGGGAATTGCTGCTGCTCCCGTCGCAGCGGGGAGCTGCGTCTTGGCCAGTTTGGCTGCAGAAGCTCTGCTGGGATTCCTAGAAGGTGTTTTTCCTCAACATCGGCCGGGCTGCTCTTGCTGACGATGCTGCGTTTCTTCTTGGCCCGCCCCGCGTGGCAGGGGCCGAGCAGGGTGTCCCCTCTCCTCCTCTGGCCTCCTCCGCCCTGGAAGCCTCCTCAGTGTTGGCTCTAAACTGACACCAGATTATTTTTTTTTTTTTTAGGTAGTCAGGAAAGCTTTCTCACCTACAGAGCTGCAACTGGAGATAATTACAGTCTGTATCAAGTCAGAAACAAAACATGTTTTATAGCTCTCTTGTTTTCCCCTGGGGGATTTTGCCACCATTTGAGAATTTTGTTTCAAATTTTTTTTTTTTTTTTTTTTAAATGAAGCTCCTCAGGGAAAGCGAGAGGGAGAGCCTGCTTCCTGGGATGAGGCAGATCTCCAGGAGCGTTTTTGCTGGAGGGAGGCGAGCCGGGATGAGCTGGTTTGGGGAAGATGTGCCGTCGTGCCCGTTGCCTCCCGTCCTTCACGTGTGACTCGAGCACACCCGTATTGTCTGGTGCACGGCTCGACGTGCATCCGTTTCATGTCCGATTAACGAGGCTGGTTTCTTCTGAAAAGCGTCTAAAATTCAGAGCGGAGGGGGGGAAAAAAAAAAATCTGCTTTTGCTTAGTTTATAATCCCAGATTGCTGATAAACGAGGAGATGCTCCACAGCCAGTCCTTGTTCACGAGTCGGACTGGAGAGGTTTAATCTCTGCTTTTCATTCGGGTTACTGTGACACAGAGCAGACTGATCCCGAAGTTCCTGACTCTGACCTTCAGACTCTCTGAAGAGCTCGCGGTTGAAAGAATTCCTGTTCTTTTCTGCTAATTTTGGGGGGGGGAAGTCGAGCGCTCTCCCCTGGCTTGCCCAGTTTTGCAGTCGAGGGGTGCTCTGGAAATTCCCAGGGCTCCCAGTAAAGCTGCAGTTTTTCCCCTCCCCTTCCCCCTCCTCGCAGCTGAGTGTTAACGCTGAAGGGCCCCATTCAATAAAGAATCTGAAGCCTAATTTAATTTTCATTGAATCTGGCTGAAAGCGTGTGCTCCTTACCAAGCCTGGAAAGCCTCCTCTTGAAAGGATTAAATAGTTGTGGTCCCTGTTTCTGATAACAGCGCTTTTGATTTGTTTCTAGTACCGAAGCCACTTACGTTAAAGGGGAGGGCATTTTGAAACCCTTCAGATCCCATCCATCCGCTGGCGTCCCTGCGAGCGGGGGATTCGCCCCCCGGGCTGCTCCGTCCCTCCCGCGGCACGGGGGATGCTGCTGCCAGCATCCCGCTGACTGGCGGCCGGCGAGCCCTTGGTGGGTTGTTTCCTTGGTGTTTGTCGGCCAAGGCCTCGATTTCCTACCCGGTGCGTTCCTCTTCCGCGTCCTGAGACGGCGTTTTCTTAATTTCCCGAAGACGAACTGCTCGTGCTCCAGCTCTGGGAAATCGCAGTGATGCTGGGGGACGCGGTGCTGCTCTCGTGATGGAGCAAGATGGGCGAGGGACGCCCCAGAAACCACTTTGGTGATGGGACCAGGAGGTCTCTGGGCTTTCTACAGGGAAGGGGATGCAGGAGGAGATCTTCCCGTCTTGCAGAGAGGCCAAGCAAAAGGTTTCTTCTCCTTTTGTACCGGCGCTGGCTCTGCTTTCTGCTGGCTCCATCGCTGGCTTTGCTTCGTGCTCGGGGTGAGGTGATAACGCTCCTCCTCAAGGGCTTTCCATCTTCCTCCTGCTGGCAGGGACGCAGGGGCAGCCCGGCTCCGGACCAGCACTTAGTAGCAGGCAATTTCTTCTGCCGTGGGGTCTTTAAAAGGAGACCCACAACTCCACTCACATTTCCTGGCGGTGCTTCAGCACCCTGCTCCACCTGAAACCTCATCAGAGCCCAGCATCTCTCCCTTTGGGTATGTTGCTTTTTATTATTTCTTTTTTTTTTTCCCCCCCCCGCATGCCGTGTCATGTTTCTTGGATGTGGCGCCTTGAGGTGCAGATGTCACCTTTCACACTTTGTAAAACGGGCTCACTTTTACCACGTCCTGATGCTTTTCCTCGCGCGGATCCATCCCGTTACCTTTCTGAAGGCCAGAAAACCACCGTTGTGAGCTCAGGCAGCCTGAACCTCCTTCGCGCTCTCTAGTATTGTTTTATTTTTTTTTTTTTCCCGCTTGCCAGCGGTATTACAGCTGCGTTCGTCTTGGTGTCAGAACACGTGACGTGAAACATCCACGTGCGTGAAGCGGCACAAGGTTTTTGAGTACCAAGACGTAATTCAGTGAAATTGCTTCAGATTGCTTATCAGTCAAGGTGGCAGCAGCTCTCCCGTGCTCGGCGTGTGTTGTTTTGAGGGTTTTTTTGTTGTGTTTTTTGTTGGTTTTTTTTTTTTTGAAGCAACGTGTTCAGTTTACGTGTCCGTGCGGAGCTGGTTTTGTGGGGACGCAGCGGTTTCTCAGGAGGGAGGAACCTGCGGGATGACTTGACCGTGTGTCGGGATGGGTACCGCTCTCTGGGGATGCTTTTTTGACGTGTCCTCGAGCAAACGGCGAGGTGACAACTGGTTAGAAAGCGCCTGCGCTCCCTCCTTGTGCGTCAGCCTTTGTCTGCCAGGTATCTGGACTTCTCCCTCCTCCTCCTCCTCCTCCTCCTCACTTTCTTTCATCTCCCAAGAGTATGAAGTGGAGGAAGCAGCCATGGAGGCCCTTTCATGGCTGAGTTAATTGGAGCTCGACGCTTTCCCAGCAGCTGGATCCAGACCGCAGCGCTGGGTGCGGTGAGGCTTCTCGCTATCCCATGGTGTCTTAAATAACCCACCGCCACTCACAGCTTCAATTTAACCTGGGGTCACTTCTTAGGGATGGGGGTGGAGAGCAGCATTTCATGTGTCTTCCTCGGCTTGCCCGTGCTTGCCTTTCTATATTTGGTTGCAGCAGACGTGCATTTTCCTGCAGAGAGACTAGACTGTCAAGTAGAAAGAAGTCTAAGGTGCTCCCTCTGAACATGGCAGCCTCTTTGAGATTGGACCGTGCCAGAAGCTTGGTCAGACTTTTTTTTCCTGTTGCATTGTGGATTTGCATTTGTTTCCTTGCTGCCTGCCGTGGCTGCAACCCTTTTTTGAGAGTAAGTTTTCTCTAGCGTGGTTCATACCCTTTAAATCATCTTGGTGCTGCAGTTGAACTTGTGTGACAGCCGTACTTCGGAAGACGTGTAATTACAGGGGATTTATAACTGAGCCAGAACAACATTCTCCTGGCAGAAATTTGGCTCGGCGGAGCTTTATCTCGTGAGTGACTTGGAGCCAAGTTGAGGCAGCTCCACCTGAAGCGAGCGTGGAGGAGCAGAGGTTGCCCAAGATTTGGCTGCTCTGGCCTCATCTTTCAGCTCAGAGCGCACAGACCTCGTTACGGAGCCCCTGCGAGCTGCCGGCGTGTCTGGAGCAGGAAAAGTTATCGGTGTTCTTGAGACGGCCACGTTCTAATTCTGACTTATTCCCTGGTGGTTTGTCATCATCCCCGGCCCGGGTCTGCGTGTCGGTAGGTAAAGACCTCACCAAGCTGGTCTTTCCTTGTTTTCAGGTGGAGCTGCCTTGGCTGTGTGGGTTTTTTTTTTTTGTTGTTGTTGTTGTAGCTCATTTCTTATCAGCCTGGGAGCAGAGAGATGGGGTTGGGATGGGCTCTGTGGCTCCTTCCTCTTTTTACTGCATCTGTTTGCCACGGGGCATTTCTGCACCTGGAGGAGAGGCAGAGGGGAAGATGGAGAGCGAGCGTGGGTGGGGATGGTCCTGTGTGTGCCTTCATCCTTGGAGTGAGAAGGTGCCTCGCATTCCTCACCGACTGACAGGGCAGCTTCACCCCAGAGCCTAGAAGGAGCAGGAAAAACCGTGTGGCGGGGGGGAATTTTCTGTATTTTGGCAGCTTGCTACCAAACCTGGCGTGCCGTGACATTCGCGCTGATAGCAGGGGGCTCAAGCCACGCCTTGGGTCCCCTCAAAAACCAAAAGTCTGCAGTGTGAAGCTTGCAAATGAAGCCTCGTGGTAACAGGCTGAGCACGCGTAGGGAAGGAGCTAAACTGCCCTCGTCGTGTCCTTGGATGACTCGAGCGTTTCCCGGCTCCCTTTTCTAGTAAATCTTGTCGAGTCGCAGCTGGAGGTGCTTTAATGCCCGACGAGGGATTGTGCCCCTGTACTCCAGGGTTTCGGGGTGCTCTCGCCCGTTGGGGTGCGTGCTGTTCCTTCTGCTTGGGAAACTCCCCCCGCCTGGCTGGTTTAGGATCGGGACTAAGAGCGTGCAGCACCGCTGCCGGCAGGTCACCGCATGCAGGCGCGTGGGAGGTCGGTGCTCCCAGAGGGGGGAGGTTGGGCTCCCAGGTCCCGTGTCCCCCCCAGGCCCCAGGGGGGTTAAGCTGGGTCTGCCACAGCCGTTTTCTGTTTGCCCCGATACTGATTGTGTCCTTCTGTCGACCTCTGTCCTGCAGGATGGACAGAATGACGGAAGATGCTCTGCGCTTGAACCTCTTGAAACGGAGCTTGGACCAAGCAGATGATCGGGATGATGTCCTGGCAAAGAGATTGAAAATGGAGGGACATGAGGCGATGGAGCGCCTGAAGATGCTGGCACTGCTGAAGAGAAAAGACCTCTCGGGGATTGAGGTGCCCCACGAGCTCCCGGTGAAACAGGATGGTGTGAAAGTCTATGAAGAAAAGCTGAATGGGAGCCTTAGGCCCCATGGGGATGGCAGGACTGCAGGGAGGCCAGGGAAGGAAAACATTAACGATGAGCCGGTGGATATGAGCGCAAGGAGAAGGTAGGTGCCAAACGACTATAGAGTCTGTAGCTTGCCTGTTGTTAATCCTGGGCTCTGCCAGATGTGAGAACCCAAGTCAGAAATGAAATGGACGTTTTTGTGGGCCTGGGGGAATCTTCCCGGTGTCTGCGAGGTTCCTTTGGCTGAACGCCGAGGAGCGGTGCCTGCTCTCCCAGTAGAGTTTCTCTGGAAGGCATTCAGCACTCTTCTTGCATTGTTTCTGCTTCTGCTGCCCTTCTTATTCTACCCCAAAACCAGATGGATTTTGTTTCTTCCTCCATCCATACGTTTAGCATCACAAGCTACGCTGTCGGGTGCCTGGCGAAGCAGACCCTGCCTGTGCGTGTGAAGGAGGAGGGTGTCCCCTCCAGCCAGGATTTTTTTATTAGCACCCCCAAAAGTGGCAGCAGAAATCCTTTATTTAGCTGGAGGCCAGATCTGCTGCAAGGCGGCACGGACAGTCGCTCTCAAACCTGACCCTGGCCAGGCTGGTGCCTCTGTGAGGAAGATGAAAACGTGTTTCCTGCTGAGTCTGAGGCTGCTCACGAGCAGCGGTTGCCCGAGCGGTCGGTGCTGGGGAGCTGGGTCTGTTCCCCAGGAGGAGCCGTGGTGTTCCTCGTGCTCTCCCTACACACCTGATTTTTATCATCGGCAAACTCTGGGAACTCAATTTCCGCAGCCGACACCTGCAGCCAGGTTCGGGGAGGTGTCGGGGGGAGTTGGAGGGTCGCACGTGAGAGCCCGTCCCATGTGCTGCGCAGCACCGATGCATCCTGCCTCTGCTCTTACTTGAGCTTTCTTGGGAGGGAGAAGGAAACAAAATGCTAACGATTTTGATTTTTGTCTTGATTTGGATGCCGAGCCAGCACAGGCTTGGCAAGCAGGCTGAGGAGCAGGACGGGGGAGTCCTGTTTTCAGTAGGTGAAAAGTGCTGAGACCTTCCCATGGTGTTTTGATGGATGAAAAGCTGGACGTGGGCCGGTGATGTGTGCTGGCAGCCCAAAATGCAACCGTGTGCTGGGCTGCACCCAGAGCAGGGTGGGCACAGGGCCGGGGGGGGGATTCTCCCCCTCTGCTCCGCTCTCTGAGACCCCCCTGCAGGGCTGGGCCCAGCTCTGGGGGCACCAACAGCAGAAGGACACGGACCTGCTCCAGCGGGGCCAGAGGAGGCCACGGAGATGCTGGGGGGGCTGGAGCACCCCCTGTGAGGACAGGCTGGGAGAGTTGGGGGGTTCAGCTGGAGGAGAGAAGGCTCCGGGGAGACCTTAGAGCGGCCCCCCAGGGCTGAAAGGGGGGGACACACTCTTGATCAGGGGGGAGGGATAGGACAGGGGGAAGGGGTTTAACCTGAGAGAGGGGAGATTCAGGTGAGATCTGAGGCAGAAATTCTCCCCTGTGAGGGGGGTGAGGCCCTGGCACAGGCTGCCCAGAGAAGCTGGGGCTGCCCCCTCCCTGGAAGGGTTCAAGGCCGCGTTGGACAGGGCTTTGGGCAACCTGGGCTGGGGGAAGGTGGCCCTGCCCGGGGCAGGGGGTGGCACTGGGTGGGCTGTAAGGTCCCTCCCAACCCAAACCGCTCTGTGACTGTTTTCTTGGTGCCTCAGATGAACGACTGCACCTTGCTCAGGAACTGGGTATCCGCAGGGTGAAGTGGAAGGGGGGGTGATCCCAGAGCAGAGCTGCACCTGCAGCACCAGGACCGGCATTCCCGGGCCCCGGGATCGATCCCTCTTTGCCTGCGGACCCACGGGGAGTTTGGCTGCTTCGAGGGCAGGGTGAGCCCTGTTGGGGACGGGGTGTGTGCTGCCAGCATTGTCTGTCCTCTCCCTCTTCATCGAGGAACTGGGACCGTGATTTGGCAAACCCAAGATTGTTTTGTCTTTGCTGACGTGTCCTGTCGGGGTCTTTTTGTGTCGGTGGTGGCTTTTGGATCAGGAGGGGGTGCTGCCTGCACTTCTGGGGGGCTCCTGTCCTGACAGGGGCTGGTGAGCAGGTGATGGACGGGGGATTTGGAGAGGATCTCAACGCTGCCGGCCCCGTCTGGGTGCTGTCAGTATTTTAAATATAAAGAATAATGCCTTCATGGGCACTTGGTTATCTGTCACACCCCCCTGGCTTGCAGAGCATCCCAAGAGGTGAACAGACCTGGAGTGCCGGAGGTGGGAAGGAGAAAACCACCTGGATTTAGAGGAAAAAATAATGACAAAATACGTGGCTTAAATCTACCCGGTCGCCTCTCCCGTTGGTTCAGCCTCCTGTAAAATCCGAAGAACTACATGGGGGTGAGGCAGAGACGTTGTTATTGTGCACCACGAGGTTTTATCTCTGCTCGTGGGAGTGTTTGGGTGCAAGCAACACCCTTTGTAGGTACCTGGGGTTTACTTGTGTCCTGCTTCGGGTGCATCATCGGGGTGTTGCACCTCCAAAAAGTGCAGTTTTTCCCAGAAATCCCCGAGGGTGAGACAACACGGGTGATGCTCAGCCACTGGGCCGGTGGGTTTAACACCTCGAGGCCTTAAAGTGTAGGAAAACCCAAGGCTCTGGGTAAGTTACTGTGCAGATCGTCTTCCCCCAGAAGAGCTGGCGGGCGCTGCGGAGAGCTCAGAACGTTGTGCAAGATGCAGGGAATCCACTTGGGTACCAGCATCGGGTGCGGATGCTTCAATCACTGACCGTGGTTGAAGAGAAATCGGCCCTAAAAAGAGGTGGAAAAAATCCTGCTGCGAGTTTTGAAATAACCGAGTGTGAAAAAGGTCTCTATGGGGGTGTTTAATTTTCCTGATGGTAAGGGGGTCACTAAGCTGGAATTTACTTGGGAATGTGCTCCACCTCTGCCTGCCTCCCGCGTCGAGCTCTTCTTCCAGTAGTTTTGTTGTAATTACGCTCTTCCCTTGACAAAAGTAAATAAAACAATCCTGACGTATTCAGCAATTCTTTGCAGATGGCCCTGTTTTCCCCCTGTCTGGTTTTGACGCTGGCTTTGCTGCTTTTTTTTTTTTTTTTTCCCCCCCCCCCCCCCCC